ATTTATTTGTCTTATAAGTCCTTATAAAGTTACTTAGCATACTTACAGTTTGACAATCAGACCAATAGGCCAAAAAAACTTATAAAAAACATAAAATAATTATACTAAATCATTATAGCCTTTTAGATATATGGTCCATGCTGGATTACAAAAACTTTTTTTCGTCTTTCTTTTTTTCCATTATTTGCCTTTATGTAGCACTTTATTTATATTTTGAGTTTCTCAGATAAGAGACTCCAGTAAGTGATATTTAAACTTGTGTATCTGATTTACTTCATTTAACATTATAGTCTTAAAGTGTTGTTCCACTGTGGAGAGAGTCTCTGAGTGCTACAGCCAGTGGTACAGGTTCCTCAGGAAGGGTATGCCCCCTTGCACAGCCTTGCTAACAGTTCAGTTACATGACAGGAAGGAGTAAAAAGAGTACGAATGGAGAAACCTCTAACCATCCAAGAATTAAGATATTTTTCTTTCTTTGTTCTTGGTTATGAACATTAAGAAAATATAAATATGAATAATGAAATTGAATCGTACTGTTCTCATTTGTGACAGACCTGTAATACAGTAAGAACATAGCCATGAGAATCATAACATGTAGAAAATAGTGATATGCACTGCTTTAAGAGGCCTTTGTCAATTCAGGGGTTTGTTACATGGCCTTTGAAGAGTTATCACTCAATATCTTAGTACTGTGGTGTAAGGCCTGAAATCCCATGTGTTGCTTTGACATCTCTGAGTCTCTAGGTCCCAAAGGCCTAGATTTGCCATCTCTACCTCTCATCAGATGGTTCCACTACCAAAGCAGGAAAAGTTCATTTGCTTATCTACTTCCCCTCTTAGCTTGGCCAGCTGTATCCCAGCTGGTTCTCAACCTGGGTTACTTTGCCAGCTTGCAAAATTATTCATGAATCCTATCACATCTTTCCAGAGGAATCCAGAGGCATTTCTCCTTTATGGTCCTACAAGCCCCTCTTCCCCAGGATCCCCTGGTTCCCTCTGTTATGAGGTAAGTTCTGACACGGCCCTGCATGGCATGTATGATCCTCCTTCCCTGAGCTGTGATAAAAAGCGCTGCCAACTTCATCTTTGCTGTCCCTGTTGTCAAGTGTCTGGTCATCTACTACTGCTTAGGGTAGGGAATTTAGTAAACAGGAGATGATCAAAATAACAACATTTCATTAAAAGGTACAATCACCCAATAATGTTTCCACATCATTTAAAAAATTGACCTAGAAGGTATTTCATCATGTTGTGTAATGTTTTTGTAAGCCCCCCCACTCCTTCTAGGATTTAATTCCAGGAAAATGTTGATCTTATATCTCATTCATTTACAAATGTTTGTTTATTGATTTTCTTCTTTGTATTAGGTATTTTTCATGGAGTAATTAATTTAATTCTCAGGTGCAATAAACTCATGAGGAATCTGAGGCTCAGAAGATTAAGTAATTTGAACAAGGTAGAACCTGGATTTAAAGTCTGCTCTCATAACATCAAATACTACATTGTAAAATATGGAATAGAGCTACCTTAGCTATTAAAGGAAGGGCAAATGTCAGCATGGTGAAGGAGGAGTAGGGACCAGAAATAAGCCTGTCTCTATCATGAAGTCTCATTTCTATAACTCTGCTCTCCCATCTAGGAAATGAGGTCAAAAACTTTGAAACACCAAAAACAAACAAACACACAAACAAACGTGATACTGGGCCTATGTATTCAGGACTTACGTGGTGGAGCCAACGTCAGGGTCATCAAGGCTGTATGTGATCTTCAAGAATTCTGCCCCCAGAAATGCCAGAGGCCACAAGAGCCTTGCCTGTCTCATGCCAGAAGAGTTGGAGATTCTCAGGCAAAACTGACATCCTTGTTCTCAGAAAAAGTTTGCAAATCCACGGTTGCAGAGGATGGGGTCTAAACAGTGGATGCATTGGAGTATAAGATGACAGAAGCTGCAGTTGCAGGAGTTGCCCAGTGAGGATCTGATGCCCCTGTGCACATGATAGTAGACAGCCCTGCAGCTTCTGGGTTGGATGAGATGGAGGGACAGAAGGCTGGAGGGGACTTCAGGTCCATGGAGCTTACTGCACAAGTTGTCCTGGATTGATTGATACTCATGGGCCACAGTACGTACCATACACAACTGAGTGGACATTATGTGGCTGTGAGGGAATGCTTAATCAACAACACTGGAGCAGAGTCTAAAATAAGCTACTTTTCTGTAACTGCTTATAACAAAGCATGGAATGTATAATCAGTGAGTTCCTTACACATTATTTTTGAAGGGTCATTATTGCAAGATTTCAGGTTTAATCACAGTTCCGAATGAAAACCATATTCAGTATTAAATCAGGGATCATCTTATTGTCTCTCCCATTAAAATCTAGATGTTACATCTGTATCCTGTTAGACAACAGTCATCAACCTATTTGGCTGTAGGACCAGTTTTGTGGAAGACAGTTATTTTTCACAGATTGCTGAGTAGGAATTGCTTTAGGATGACTGAGGCATATAACCTAATCCCTGCAGTTAGGTTTTAGTTTCCTGCACAGCATACCACTCAGGTCTGAGAAAAAAAAATACAATAAAAGAAAGAACTAGGACAGAAAGCAGGGTTCTGGGATGACCAGTGCCAGTGCAACCAAAACAGACATCATGGAGCAGCCCAAGTCACTGATTTTCATTAGTAATCAGCTGAGGGTAAAGGTAAGCTACATGCAAAAGCAGAAATATATGAGAGGATATGCAATTATACAGTTTTTGTGGAAACTAATATAAGCAGACTCATAAAGAACAAGACAAAGCATTCTCAAATTAGCAAGAGTATATAAACCATATGGATGTAATTAGAACATTGTTCTTCTAGTAAGAAGGTATAGTTGTGGAAATGGAATTTGGGTGAGATTTGCTCTGGTCTTGGCATGTAGGCTTTAGCTGGACTAGCTTCTCAAAATAAGCCAGTTGTGGGGTTCACTTTTTATAGCCTGGTTTGGGCATAATCAATAGTACAGTCCCCTGCAAAAGCACATTGCATTTATTGGACCCTTTCCTCCTTTAACATGTGTGTGTTGCATATTTTGTTTCAGCCAGGAGAAAGGTAAATAAGACAGTTTGCAGCAAAATTCACCAACATATCCATCATACTACTTAGAATATATCAATAAAAATAAGTGTTATTGCCTTAACATTGGTAGACTCTTCAGCCTGCATTGCATATCATAGTTACTTAACTTTCTTTAACAATTGTGCCTTAATGGTCTCTATTTGATCAGTTTTTCTAGGTGTGGTACTATCTAACATCTTTTTACTGCAGCCTTCTCTATAGGAACAAAAATGTCCTTAGCAGCAAGAAGGATCAACTCTTCATTAATAGTAAAGGGCTTCTTAGCTTTACTGGTAAGCCATTAAGAATGATCCTTTCATGACACAAATCTGATTAACTGGTCACCTTCAATAATTACTTCTGTAGTTCATGTTCAAATATTTTCCTTTGGAAAAAACTACAAAGCCTTGTTTTTCAGTGCAAAGTGGGTATTCTCTTCATGGTGAAGCAATTTTGAAGGTTTCATTGGATTGCCAGTCACCACATATTACAAAATGGACTTGGAGAATATGAATCCTCTCTTGCAATGAACCAACAATTTAAGGAGGACTGTTGGTATTTTCTTCTAAATGCCACTTTCTTTTTCTTGATAGTCTTAGAGTCTTCTGCTGTCACATTATAGGATCGTTCCCCCTTTTCTCCCCTAATGTTTGTTTTTATTCCTTTTGCCTAGGGTTAGCTTAAATTAGGGTTATCAAAACAGAGTAAGACAAGTATACAGTGTATGAAAAAGACACACATGGAAGTGATATATAAAATACAGTAATGGGTGGGTCAGTCATGGACTAAAGCAAATGTCTTATTCTGATATAGAGCCTGCCACTAGGTGCATCCGTACAATTGAAGAAAATCAAATCCCTTTCCACCATAATGCTCATAGCTACATGCAGCTTAACTGTCATCTGCCATTTACCAGCAAGCTTTTGACATCAGTCTGGAAGCAATTTATTTATTATGCTCTCTGTGTAGTCAAAGCTTTCTGCTAATGTTCATCTGTATTTGCAGTCACTTCCCAGTACTAGCATCACCGCCTCAGGTCCACCTCAGATGAGTAGGCATGAGCTTCACATAAGAAGCACCTACCTTGATTCTTCACCTTTCCAGTTCACAATTGGGCTTAGGCACCTATGAGAATCTAATGCAGCCACTAATCCGACAGGAGCTTTCACTCCAGTGGTAACTTGAGATTTAGGGTGCAGCTGTAGGCACAGTAACTCCACAACTTATGAACATTCAGTTTGCAGACCCTCACAGATATGGGGTACATAACTGGGCATAGGATTACAAATACTTGTAGCTATGAACAAATCAAGAAAGTAGATCATCTGTCTGCTGGACACTGTCTCAGTCATGCTGCTGTGTGCTCTGCTTATTTAGAAATAAATCCAACTTAAAACCCGGTCTCCAAAAGAGTATTTCAAAACATTAAAGTAAGAAAGCAAACATATTTAGTCACATTGCTTTTATTACATTTAAAAATAATTTTTGTGGTAACACACCTATATTTCTTTTTTACACATATATTTCAATATAAAGGTTTTCCTTTCTCATGCTTTTACATTTCTGCTTATGTTTTTATGATGTTTATGCTGCGTTAATATTTAGCACATTATCACACAGATGTCTGTTGATGACTAGTGGCCCAAACAGTTTGGGAATCCGCTGACTTTGGCGACTTTAACTTTTTCTGGATTTGCTTTTAGTTCATTTTCAAGGTTAAGCTCCAAGTGCGCTTGCATATGCACAGCAAACAACTACTGCATACACTAACCCGGGAAAGCAAACCAATCCTTTCCAGTTCCGTATGCGGGGAAGCCTACTACCACCGGCACTCTCAGAGGAGAGGCACCGCTCCCACACCAGGCCCAGCACAGCAGCCCAAGCCACCGCCTCCAGCCAGCACAGGGGGTGGCCCCGCGGGGCTCAGGCGCCGCCCTGGGTCAGTCTCCGGACGCTCGGAGTCGGAGTCAGAGACGGCACAGACCAGCGCAATCCGACTGTCCTGAGTCACCTGCGGGAAGACTTGCCATAGATCGGGGCGGACAGGAATCATTCTCAGGGCAGAGGAAGCAGCCAAAGTCGCAGACTCAGGAATCTTCAGGTACTGGGCTGGGAGAAACCGGATCTTCAAGTTCACTGGGCAGAGAGCTAGGCCGGAAGAGTGGAAGAGGATAGGGGAAGGAAGGAGGGAGGCCGGGAGCCAGAGTGAGACAGAGAAGAGGGAGGAGGAAGAGGAGGGCGACGGCGGGAACTAACCAGTCCGAAACTCTGAGGGGATCGCCCAGCAACCTGCGCTGTCTCGGGCTGCACAAAGCGCGCAGACCCGCCCAGGGTCTCGAGCTCTGCCCGGAGTGGGGCGTGGTGTCCCCACCCTCCTCGGCTGACAGCTCTTCCGCGATTTGCCAGCAGAGGGGTGTGGAGGGTGAGGATGTCCTCGGGTTTGGTGCGCAGGACCGAAGGGCGGGAATTCTGCGGACACACACTGGAGGAAGCGCGGTGCCGCGGACCTGCATCTCCTGGATTTTCTGTAGAGCCTTGGGCGAGTTCCTGAGGTGCTGGGTCACTGCTACCTCCAGCACTAACTTCTGTCCCTTCTGCTTATGGGTTGTAACTTTCCTTCTACTCTTCCTTCCCTCCATTCCTGTTGTCCTCCCTCTAATACCCTCCCTTCTTTCCTTTCTTCTTTCTTTATTCTACATCGTTCACGTTTTTCTTCTTCATTGCTTCCTTTAAACTTGAAAAAAAAAATGCTTCACCAACTTCCTCCTTAGCAATTTCTCAGGCCATAGGTGCAGTGTGGTTCCTGTATTTACTTTAATTAGTTCCTGTCTTCCCAGCTACTCCTCAGGCCTTGATCTTCTCTCCCACTCATGTGCTGAGGGTGCCCGAGGCCAGAGTGGTTCCCTCTCCAGCGTCCCCAGTTTCCCTGCTGTGTGTGGATAATGCTATCTTCCAGGACCTCGCAGGCACAGCCTCCGAGTTCTCCCAGTATTTCCCTTTACTTTTACTACCTTCAGATTTTGGGACTCCCCCAGAATTGAGTGAGTTTCTCCTCCTGCACCCCTAACATCCATAGGCTCGGGGTAATTCCATAAAGTCACGTGGGTGGAATGTCCTGGAATCAGAATACAGATGATTTCTACCCTCCTGATCTACTCATCTTAGGTCTCACCTGTTTTTCCAAAGGTCCCTTGGCTGACGTGTTACACATTCGATGGGTATGGTATACATTTGAAATGGAATGTATCACCTTCCCCATTCCGATCTGGAGCCTCATGTAACCTTCCCACAGCTCACGCCCACCCTCAGTATGAATTTACCTAGGAGCCTTGGGACCATCCTTGCCACCTTCTGCTCCTCCTTTCTTCCAGATGTCACTGTGCCTAGAAACTCCAACCCCACGTGTGTGTTTCCTAGGCATCAGCTGTCACTGGTCCATGGTCCATGGTAGTGGTCTATCAGCCGATTCCTCTTCCTTGTTCCACACCGAATAGCAAGCCATGTCATTTTTCTGAAACCAACATACTCTTGTATTTGTTTCATAACCATATATGGAGCTGGGCATAGTGGTATATGCCTATAGTCCCAGTGCTCAAGAGTCTGAGGCAGGAGGATCAATACAAGTTCAAAGCCAGGTCAGAACACATGGTGAATTCAAGACAAGCCTAAATGAAGTATGTGTCAGGACCCTGACTCAAAACCAACCAACCTGACTCTACCTGTCCAGCCAGGCCCATATATGGCTTTTCCAGGCCATAGTTTAAATTTAAACTCCTAAATTTGGTATAAGAAGCCCACTTTTTTCTCCCTTCCACCCATCTCGTAGGAAAGCACTGCCAGTCTTCTTGTACCTGCTAATCCTTCAGCCTCAAACTCCCCCCATTCACCACCCACAGAATGTCTGCCTAATCTGTGAGAGCAGCTTTGAATACATTCAGTGTTGGACCTTTGTATGGGGTGGTGGTAGGAGTGTGGCATTCAAGGCTCCCAGGAGGAAAATGATCACACAGACTTAGAAGCAAAAGGCTTGCTTTTGAGGCTGAATCCATCACTTTTCCTGGAGTCCTGTGGACAGTATTTGATTGTCATTGTTCATCTGTGAAAGGAAAACTAGCTTAACCCCAAATCATTTAATTGGCTGGAAATAAGACTTGCCTGTGTTTTGTGACAGTCAAATGTGGCAATTGCACCTAAAAATATTATTTTATATTATATTGATACCGATTTATTTTTAGATGTATTGGACAAGTTCCATTTTGTTTAAATCTCCATCCTTCGCAAAAGCTTTTGATACCAATTTCTTTTTAGGTGTATTGAACAGGATTCATTTTGTTTATTGCCCCCTTTCCAAAAGCCTTAATGTATAAATGAGATTGAAGCTCCAAGGAAACAGGGGCTTGTGTCAGTTGTGGAAGAGCATCCATATGTATGCCAGTGTGTGTGTGTGTTTGCTGTCAGGCAGAGGTGAGTGGGAAATACTATGCTATTGACCAGTCCCTGGATGTTAACCAGGAATGCAGGTGAGGCTGTGAGAAGAGGAAGAGGAAGGACAGAAGAAACCAAAGGGAGGAGTTTGGAGTGTAAAGTTGAAATTGATGCAAGCCTTTGCTTCATTCTTTTTGTCTACTTATATAAGATGATGAAATATATGTATGCAAATCCATACCTATATACACACACACACACACACGCACATTCAACCACCAATGCAAGTCCACGACTGTTTCACCTTGAGTCCTATGCTAAGGTAGGATCAGATCCAGACTTATATATCTCTTTGTCACATCTAATTTACCTAATTCTCTCCTTCTTTGGGTTTCTTCGGTGCCAGCTTCTGGGGCTCAAATTTTAAGAAGTTTGAATACTACTTTTTGACTTAGAGTTTCTGTCTCAAGCATAGGATATGGGGTTGGAAGACTTGCCCAGGGGAGAAAACATCAGTCTTCCAACAGCTGAGGTACATTTTGTGACATGGGGACAATGGAGAACTCTGACGTCTGGTTATGTAATAATTATCCGTTAGTTATATACATATGCTATTTTGTAAAGTGGGTCACCATTGTATTTTCCTGGTTGAAAATGTAGCACTTCTAGTTTTTCAAATATTAAGGAATTTGTGTTGGTTTCGATTGCTGATTTTTGATTACAGCATTCCCTCTCTATGTTCTAAGGTGTAACTGAGTTTAAAAAAAAATAGAGCTATTGTGTTTTTAAAAAATGCCTTAGGAGAGAACTTTAAGCAAAGCATTTAATGCTGTGGATGACAATAGTTGTTTTTCCCAAGTTCTGCGTGCTCAGCTGCTCTTTTTTCTTGTGCCTCTGAGATATAATTAAGGCCTTCAAGACCTCTTCCAATGGAACAGTATTTCACACTGCTGTAGGAGGCATTTTGTAGTCCACTGGGAAACTGGAAGAATGATCATCAGCTCATAAAAGGACTTGTGTATATAGAAATGAACGTATGCACGATGATTCTTATCGCTTGGTGGAGTTTGGGGTAGTTTTTTGATTATTTGCTGATTTTCCAACCTGGGGCATGGTTTAAAAATGTTTCAATTAAAGATATATACGTATGTGAAAAAATGATGACATAATAGAAGAAACAGTTTATTAGGGTCATGAGATTGTGTGTAATGCTTTGTTTTTTTATTTTCCAAACCATTCTTAACTAGAAGAGCAAAGAGGCTCAAGGAAAATAATATTTTGTGGCATAAGAGACCACATAAATGTGGGGTTAGTAGAAATAAAAAACAAATTAGGGCAAGATATAATAATTTGCTAAAATTATAGTAATTATTAGTAGCACGCAATGACTTTTCTTCCCCTACAGGAAGGTGCTTCCCTAGTCTTCCACAGAAACTGGTTATAGGAGTCCTGTTTCATTTCAAAGAGTTGGTTAGCTCTGGAAAGTAAAACTGGGCAGAAACGTTTAAAAATATTTACATCTCAAAGGGAGAAAACCTAACCAACATTTACAAACTTTCCTTTCCTTTTTTTTTTTTTTAAATTTCAAAGGGAGAAAACCTAACCAACATTTACAAACTTTCCTTTCCTTTTTTTTTTTTAAATGAATGCTTTAAGAAAAGCTAGATTAAGGCCTAGAGGCAAAGAGTAACCTGTTTAGTCTGCACAAATTTCAAATTTAGCCTTATTACTATTTAGTCAAGCTCAAGAAAGCATTAAGGTCATTCTGGCCATGACTGATTCAAAATCAGTACATCTCATTCAAAGTGTTCACCCAAATGCTCAAGCTTTGGGCTTAATACTTGATATCTATCTATCTATGTTTATATTTTATACATATGTATGTATATATGTGTGTGTATATATATATGTGTGTGTGTATACATATATATATATAGGTATGTTTATTTTTTTATTTTTATTTTTTCAGCTTTAATGAGTTTATTGATACATTTTAGGGATGCAGTACAGTTACATTCATTGTTGGGATCTGGTAACTTTGCATGACAGGTCTTGATTCTCATTTTTTCCCCTTACCCCTGCCCTCCCTTTACCCCTTTCTCCCCTCCCCATCTACAAACACTTTAGGTATGTTTATATAAAAGACTTCAGCTCCCACCACCCAGTTTCAGCAACTCCTGTGGAAAATACTGCAAAATTTTTGCACTCCCAGTAGTTGTGTGTTAGATCAGGCTATTCTAAATACGTCCAGCCATTTTCACATGAAATGATGACAGAAATGCAGTTTTGGGACTGGGGATTTAGCTCAGTGGTTCTGCCACCTGCCTCACACGTGCAAGGTCCAGCGTTTGATCCCTAGTACAAAAAAAAAATGCAGTTTTTATTTATTTACAAGGGATTATTTATGACTCTGAAAAGGTTCTTTTTAAATTATGTTAGAGACATCAGGGAGAACCAGCAACAACTGGGAGATTTCATGTAATGAGTAAGAATTCAGTTTCTGGAGTTGATTCGGGTTTTTAATGACTCCTTGAGAGCTCTGGAAGCCGCTGCAACACCCTGATTTGGTTCCTCATCCCCAAGTGAGGTAATGAGTGTGCTGGCCTCATGCTATTCTCGGTATGATTAAGGTGAGAATGGGAGACACTGAGTACAGTGCCTGCCAAGAAGCCATGTTGGCCCTTGTTACACTGGCAGGGCATCCACCCAGTACTGGAGGGTGTCTGCACCCCTATTTTGAACAGTGGTTCCAGTCGTAGAACACCGTTTGGTTATTTTGTGAAAAAATAAAAATAACAAGTGTTCTAGTTTCCTACTGATGCTGTACAACTTCCCCACAGATTTAGTGGCTGCAAACAATGCAGTTTTGTTATCTTATAGTTCTGGAGGTCATAAATTCCAAATATTATGGCAGAGATATGTTTTTCTCTGTAGAGATATGTTTTTCATTAGTGCAGTGGTGGTGAACCTATGGCACATGTGTCGCAGTGGGCTGTTTGTAGCATTGAAAGCTCTAAAAGTTTTGCTATCACAGCTCTAGGGGAATCTATTTCCTTTCCTTTTCCAGCTTCTAGTGGTGGCCACAGTCCTTGATCCATGGCCTGGACTCACTCTGACCTCAGCTTCTGTCTTCGTATCTTCATGTACTCAGATAATCCTGATCCTCTTGCCTTCCTCTAGTAAGAACTCTTGTGATTCTTCTAAACTCATGGACAATGGTTATATCCAAAATCCTTAACTCACACACACTTACAGAGTCTCTATTGCGATTGAGAAGAGGCAGTCACAGGGCTCAGGCGTTTGGTGCAGATGCTCTGGGGCACAGTCATCTCATCTGGCACACCTGGTGACTGTGACTGCAGGAGGGTTGTTGATGTGATTCCCTATTGTGCTTTCATCCAGACCTTACCGGATGGATGATCTCTGTGAAGGAAATGGCACCTTTGCCATCAGCTTATTAAAAATGCTGGGTGAAGAAGACAACTCACAAAATGTGTTCATATGCCCACTAAGCATCTCCTCCTCCCTGGCCATGGTCTTCCTGGGGGCAAAAGGAAACACTGCTGCCCAGATGTCCCAGGTACGCCTACCTGCTCCCCCCGCCCCCCACAAAAGAGAATAAACACAGCTTTCTCTTCTGCTTCCATGAAGCAAGTCTTTCCATACTGCCTTAGTTACTTGTTTCTCATTGCTGAGACAAAATACCCAACATGCAAAGCTAAAAGGGAAAATGTTTATTTGGCTTACAGTTTGTAGAGGTTTTGGTCCATAATTGACTGGCTCCAAAACAGGGTGGCAGAGGGGCAACAGTTCATGACAGAGGAAGATAGCAAAAGCACCAAGGGGCTTTAACAGAGTCTTTCTGCCCCTTTCATCTTATTCAGACTATTTAGGGTGGGTGGCATGCACATCCTTATCCTCATGCTCTTAGTCCTAGCCCCACCAAGAAGCAATCGCACACCCTAGCTTCACTCACCTCTGAGAAAGCATGAGGCTATGAGGGGGTCATTTGAACACAAGCCATGCTGCTATCACTGTAGATCAGGAAGAGGCCATTCTGAAAATGTTGACGTGGCAGAAGGTGACTTGTGCTATGTAGGGCATCTCCGCTAATGTTTATGGGGGAAATGAAGCCATAAGGTTATTTTCTCACCTTTTGGTGAAATCATACCTTTGATATATAAAGGAAACTATGATTTTGCCCCGCATAAAAGCCAAAAAATATGTTTTAAATAGAAGTGCAGCTTTGTAAATGAACTTTTTAATGGGTTATTTTTAGTATATGATTATGCATATGTAGATGAAAATGTGACATAAATGTGGGTTTAGAATTTTCTGGACTTACTTAGAGAAAATCTATAACTGGCTCATTTTAAATGTTTATGTTTAAATGTATACCCTTTTCCTCAAATGAGGTGGTAGGTAGCATTTCAGGACACTTCTTTGACCATCTGCGGAATGGATCCCAGAAAATTTCCACAGAGGCATCATTTTACCACTAGCATTGGGATGTGTGGATAACATGCTGCACATCCAGGATCTCAACTGAGATCCCCTGTGGTTGTTTCAGGGAGGCTTCCAACTGGAGTAATTAAGAGGCACAGAAAAAATCTTATTTCTCACCTTGACCTGAATCATAATCTAGTTTGGAAAATTATGAAATTACAGAGGAATAATCTTTATTTTTATTTCTGATGTTTTTTGCACTGCCAGAATCTTATTAGATTCAGCCCAACTACCTGTTTTTCTGTTCTGCCTTCCATGTAAGTTATTGCAGATTGCCATAAAAAATCTGCTAGACCAATGTTTCCCACCCAGGCCAGCAGTTTCCTTCTATAGAGGTGCAGTATTTGGTTAAGACTGGAGTTTTAGATCTCATAACTAAGAGGTGCTGCTGCCCTCTAGTGGGAAGAGGCCAGACATGCTGCAAAACATCCTAAAGAGCAAGGATGATTCAATTAACAAGGAACCGTCAGGCCCAAAGTGTCCGTCCCTAGTGCCAAGGTTGAAGAGACATCTGCTTTTCTTTTCTTTTCTTTCTTTTTAAAGTTCTTGAGGATAGCCATTCTTTCTGAATGTAATTATTTTGTATTGCAAATGTATATAATTATCATATGAAAAGATTGGTTGGAATGCTACCAAGGTGAGAAAAGTATTACACATAATTAAAGAGGACAATTGAACCAATCTTCCTTTAAGACGGAAACTCATGTGACTTGTGGTCCACATATTTGTTTGGAAATAGCTTTCTGGGGAAGTTGGCCATGTTTAAAGCACATGCTGATTACTCCTCCCAGGCACTTTGTTTGAACAGAGATGGAGATGTTCATGAAGGTTTCCAGTCTCTTCTCACTGAAGTTAACAAAGTTGGCACTAAGTACCAACTGAGAACGGCCAGCAGACTCTTTGGAGAAGAAACATGTGATTTCCTCCCAGTAAGTAGTACTTACTCACTGATGAGCAGTTTGCAAATAAGATAGAAAGCCCAGAAGAGTAGAGAACGAAGCACAATTTAATCACCATTAGCGTGTGCTTAGAATTACCCTTCTGCATTATAGTTTTGACTTTTATGCTTGCTTCTGATTTGTGCTCTTGGTAAGCTGTTTGTGATCCATCCCTCTCTGAAATCAAAGTCAATGTGCCCTTCCTCCTGCACCTAGATCTTTTCTCCCCCTCCATCCCCTATGCCCAAGCACATCATTTAAAGTGTTTACAGAGTTTCTCTCTATTATCACCTCTACTTGTTGGGCTGGTTCTTGCTGTGGCAGCCTTTCAAAGGCTCTTACATTTGCTTCTTCTTCTGAATCACCACTGGTACTTGGTTTCAGATCAACTGTATCTTTCACATTATTATAAGTTGTTCCAAACTGGTCTGCCCAAGACCTGCCTGGCCCTTCTTTTGGCCTCATAAATCTCACCATTGACAGAATGGCCTTAAACAATAATAGTGTGTATGTGTGTCTTAAAGGGCAAGATGACCTCTCCAAGCATGTGTGATAGAAGCATATTATGAGGAAAGAAAATTGTGGGATTTTCCTAGTTGTGGGAACCTTTGCCAGAGAGGGCCAAACCCAGTGTTGTGTTTGTAGACTTTTAAGGAATCCTGTAAGAAGTTCTATCAGGCAGAGATGGAGGAGCTGTCCTTTGCTAAAGATGCTGAAGAGTGCAGGAAACACATCAACGACTGGGTGACAGAAGAGACTGAAGGTAAGAAATTTTAATTTAGGTGGATTTGGTATTGCCGTGGAAACAGAGGCTGAGTGGAGCTGGGCTGTGAATTTTATGGCATCGCACCCTGTGGCTGTGAACACTGGTACTGGAGGACTCTTTCTGGGCTTGTTAAGGTTTCAGGCCAGCAACAAAATTATTTGTTATTTTTCATGGGATTACCAGATCACAAAGTAGTGATTTTTTAAAAAATTAAACCATTAGGACCTCAAACTCTCTTCCCACTGGACTCTGTTGGAAAATTTTGTGAATCTACTTCAGATTCTGAATGTGTCACTAAGCTGGAGACTGTAGTATCCCTTGTCCAGACCACATTCCATCCCAGCAGGAATAGACTTTCCAGTTCCTGACTTGATTGAGGAGAAAAAGAACGGGATGTGGTGGTTCATGCCTGCAATCTAAGTACATGGAAAGCTGAGGTAGGAGGATCGCCATGAATTCGAGGCCAGCCTGAATGACATAGTGAGACCCTGTCTCAAAACTAACAAATGAACAAACAAAACCCAAGCAAACCAGGAGAAGAAGAGGGCATACCTATAAACAGGCTAACTACCTAACAAGAAGTTTAAAGACTTCTTAAATGTGGGAGAATTAGATCACATATTTTTTTAGGTGCCAATCTAGCACTCAGTGTTTATGACACACCACACCACTGTGTGCCAGCAGTAGCAATGCCCATAATTATGCTGACAGACAATGGCATAGTTGTTGTGGGAAGGGAACAGCCATTCACATTTTCGCATGCCATCTGTCCAGTGAGCCCTCCCTCCCTGTGGACCCAGTAGTCATAAGTGCCCTGAGAATTTCTCCACAACTAGCTCTCCCCTTATCTATCTATGTTGCCAATGCCGTTCCTTCTTTTGGCTTACCATGCAGTCATTTGGCAAGAATATTAAAGTTGAAAGGGACCTTGGGGATCATCTAGTTCCCTTTCTCATCAGACAACTCATTTTGGGTCCTTCTGTTCCATCTCCTTAGTTCCTCGCCCCCATTCACTCCTTTCAGTCATCCTGCCTTCTTCTTTCCCCCTCACAGGTCCAGGTCCCTATCTGTAAGGGGCTTCTCCTTATCTAAGTGAGAGCTGGAGACTGTAATGGAGCAGTGATTGTCAACCAGGAGTGCTGTGCCCTCCAAGTGACATTTGACAATGCTGAAGATGTTTTTGATTATCACAAATGAGGAAAGTCCCACTGGTTGCAGACCCTACAGCACACGAGGCAGACCGCCCAACAAAGAATTATCTGACTAAAATGTCAATAGTGGTAGAACTGAGATTTTATAGTGTCTGGGTTGACTCTTTTTTTCAGAATCAAGAATCTTAGCCATTTGCTACCTATGTGAACTTGGCAAGGAGGGAAATGTTCTCATCCTGAATTTCTACATCTATAAATTATGAAGACAAAACCGCAGTTGCCCTACTTACTTTAGGATCATTGTATAAGGACACATGATACACTGTGTGTGAAAGAAAGACTCCAATCTGTCTCTTAACCATACCTGGCCTTTACATATCAAGGAGATTGTAAAAGAATGTTTATTTCTCCCCAAATCACTGTAAATTTCTCTCTTATTTTTTACAGGTAAGATTTCAGAAATACTGGGTCCTGGGATAGTTGGCTCCCTGACTAAGCTGGTCCTTGTGAATGCTGTGTATTTCAGAGGAAAGTGGAATGAGCAATTTGACAAAAAGCACACAAGGGGAATGCCTTTTAAAACTGGCAAGGTAGGGAACATTTTCTGACATACTGCTACGTTCTTGATGCCATTAGCTGGGAAAAATGACGGATGGAAAAATAAATAATTTATTTCATATTATCTTGAATCTTAATCTTTTTCTGAATGAATTCAATGCCCCCTGTCTGTCTTTAATTAAAGGGAGGACAGAAACTAATTTTTTTTTTGTTTTGACAATTTACTTTCTCATCTTTGTTCAAGTTCTTCTGCCATCTCTCATCATATGACTTGGGTTGGAGGAAAATTTCTTCAAAGCCTTAGAATTATGTTGATAATAAGCTATCACTGTCTGTGGTTACTTAGACACCTCTTTGCAGTGTCAGTGAGAGCTGTGCTTATTTGTCACCTCAGAATTCAAGGATGTGCAATTCTGAGCTAAAATAGAGTGTTAGCAAATGTTAAGGCTAACTTTTAAAAGAGTTTTCTGCATTCCCTTTAAAATACAATAATGGCTGGGGTCAATAGTTGTTAGCTTGAAATTTGACTTCCATCAATTTGATAATAGCACCTTGTACAAAAATATTTAAGTTAAAAATATATTTGATGGAAGCTTTAAAAATGGCTGACCTTATACATCCTGTCAAGGTCCCCTCCCTGAGAAATCGAAGCCATAAAACCAATTACATACTGGGCACCTTTTCAGAATAAAAGTATAATTCCCTCTGGCTTTTATATCTTTTCTAATCAGATTCTTCAGCCTAAAGGCTGAATTTAGTTAATGCTCCTCTTAACTTGGAGAAATAATTTTTAATTATAAGGGCCATAGAAGTTCTCACCTATGAATCTCCTCAAGAAAGCAAACACAATTTCTTTTTAAAATAATGTAGAGTTTTATGTCCTTATACATTGAGCAATCTATTCTCTCTTACCTGGAAATTACATGATCTGAGGGAACAATAGCATATGTTACTCAATACTAAGATATGCTAATGAAGCCTATATCGAACAGCATAAATGCACAGCAATGATAATTATCTGATCCTTGTGTAGGAGTTATGTGACTCAGACATGCCTTGGTTTTAGGAAGTCGTGCTTGTTTTTCAGTAGTCTAATTTCATGTTTTTAATTAGGAGAAAAAAACTGTGCAGATGATGTTCAAGCATGCGCAGTTCAACATGGGCTATGTGGAAGAGGTGCATACACAGGTCTTGGAGATCCCCTACGAAGAGGAGGAGCTGACTATGGACATTCTGCTTCCTGATGACGGCACTGATCTTGTTGTGGTGAGCCTTGGGCAATGAGACTGAGCACTGTGGATTCCAGCTGAGATTATTTCTTTAAGTCCCTCTACTCCATGGCTTTGGGGAGTTTCCAGTTGTGAATAATTACAAGTAGTACTGCATAAACACCAGTGCATGTCTTTTGGTGAACATGTATATGCATTTCTGTTAAATGTCTAGGTAGGACTGGACAAATTTTGAGGAAACTAAGAAGAGAGTGTTATAAAAATATAATAACATTCTTTATTTTGTTTTTTTTTTCCTCATTGAGTTTACTGGTAATTCTTAGGTATACTGTACAGTTACATTCATCATTGGGATCTTGTACCTTTACATGAAAGGTCTTGGTAACATTCTTTATTTTGAAGAGTGGTCTGGAAGAAGGATGGGAAATAATCCGGTCAATGTTTTTTAATATTAAAGTGCATATGAACACCTAGGCAATCTTATTATAAAGAAGATTTTGATTCAGGAGATTAAGGCTTGAGATTTTGTATTTCTAAGAAAATTCCCCATAAAACAGTTCATGCTGGTTCATGCATGAACTTTTAAAAAAAATGCACTTTTAAAAAAATTCTACATGTTTTAAATACATACTGAATATATTCCTTATGGGGAGTCGGTACATGTACACGTCACATTTTGAATAGCAAGGTCTATGGCACAAGTGGGGGATTTTCATTAGACAGAAGGAAAGAGAAGTCTTCTCATGATAGAAAAGAAAGAGTTCAGGAAAAGAGAAGGCAAACTTGTAAGGTGGGAAATGTAGGGTTACTGGTATACTGGTAAATCTTCACTCTGGGAGGTGAGGGAGGCCCTCATTTTCAAAGTTGACTGATTCCCATGGTGTAAATACTCCTACCGTTTCTGGCTCTAGGCTACCAAATATTTAACAATTTTCTGAGTTATCATTTGTACACCAATGGATAGGATGCTGAGTGTGAGAATGCTTGATTTCCTTGGCTTCTCTATGGAATCACAACACTATTGGCCTAAGTCAGAATCAGATCTATCATGGCCACGTGAGAGGGAATTTAAAAGTCTAGTAGCGCCAAAGTTAAGGCAGCTTTCGTTGGAGGGGCTCCCGCGCCTCAGCACTAGTTGGTAAAGAGCTGGGGAAGTGCAACTGGAGGGCCCTTCTCACTCCTCTCTTTCCTCTTTGTGGATAAGTAGGATGAGTGATAAGACTTAGAGGATTTGAAGTTAACTGCAGGCCAGATAGAGGGCAAATAAGGCTGCCAGGTGAAACAGTCCTGTTGAATTCTTCATTTCTTTTTTTTTCTTTTTTTGTGGTACTGGGGCTTGAACTCGGATCCTTGGGCTTGCAAGGCAGGCCACCAAATCTTCATTTCTGATTTCCTCCTAGAAGCCATGTCTCCTTTCATGTTCAGATAAGATGCTTCCCACCTCTTTCACCCTGAAAGAATCGTCTCTGATCCAGCCCTGAATAGCTCCCTGATGGGCTTAGAATCAGAACTCCCAGTCATATTTGTCTTTGTTTTATTAATCTCTCAAATTCACAGCTATATGATTGCATGGATATTAATATGATCCATTAGTTGCATTTTTCTAAAATGTTAATTTTTAAAAATTAATATCTGAAACAACTTTGGTATAGATTGTCCCCATTGTTTTCTAGCTCTTTTACTCTTGTGTGTAAAAAGTGGGGATAAGATGAAAATTGGGCGTGTTTGGAGTGTTTCTAATAAGAATATCTGTAGGTTTTCTTGGACAAGAACTCATCCTCTAGTTCCATATCATGCGAAGAGGGTTATAAGTGGGTGGTAGGCAGATTTTAAGATTTGACCTTTTACTCTTCCAGGTGGAGAAAGCACTTACATACGAGAAGTTCACATCCTGGACAAATCCAGAAAACATGAAGAAAAGCAAAGTTCAAGTATTCCTTCCCAGATTAAAGCTGGAGGAGAGTTATGATTTGGAAGCTTTTCTCCGACGTTCAGGAATGACCGATGCTTTTGAGGAGACCAAGGCTGACTTTTCCGGAATGTCAACTAAAAAGAACGTGCCGCTGTCCAAGGTTGCCCACAAGTGCTTTGTGGAGGTTAATGAGGAAGGCACAGAGGCGGCTGCGACCACTGCAGTGGTCCGGAATACCCGCAGTGCCAGGATAGAACCACAGTTCTGTGCAGACCGCCCTTTCCTTTTCTTCATCAGACACCACAGCACCAACAGCATCTTGTTCTGTGGCAGGTTTTCTTCTCCATGAAGGGGTTCTGTTGCTGCACAAGCCCTTTTTTCCCTTCTGCCTACTTTGCCTTCATTAAAATTCTACTATTTAGGATACATATATGTGACAAAATATAAAACATTAACATGTACCACAAAAGTCTGAGCAACAGTTACCCGGAAGGAGGACTGGGGACCCCTCCGAAGTGCAGGAGTGTTCTAGTTCTTAATCTACAGAGTGATTCCATAGGCAGTTGCTTTTTAATAATGAATTGAGCTATATAATTTCTGTTTTATAATTTTTCATGGTTTATTTCAAAATGAAAATGTTAATATAAAAAAGTAAAATTCCGGGCCAGGGATTTAGCTCAGCTTGCCTTGCAAGCCCAAGGACCCGCGTTCAATCCCTGGTACCACACCAAAAAAAAAAAAA